ATCTCTTCTTCTAAAGAAGGAATGGAACATATGTTGTCTATTACCTGTCTCTTATACACATCTAGATGTGTATAAGAGACAGAAATTGGACCACTGGATGCCGAGATATTTACAAAAACGATTTTTTGAGCCCCTGAAAAATGGGCCAATCTGCCGAAAGTGTGACTTATGACCTGTTTTGGAGATATCCGGGGTCCTATTATACTTCTTTTCATTCTGACTTGGATTCTACTAAACACGGCCGTTCTTCTGGTGGTGTTTCTTTGTTTATACACAACTCTTTAGCTACTCATGTTCAATTTTATTAATCGCATTCTTCACGAATTCTTTCTGTAGACTTATTTTTTAAAGGCAATGTTAAATTGCATATATTTGTTGTCTATATTTCCCCTACAAATGATCTTATTCTTCGTTATGAAGTTATTGATCAATTAATTTCTCTTATTTCTCAAACTTCTTCACAAAATTTCATCACGCTATTTGCGGTGATTTTAATATAAATTTGGAGAAATATTACCCTATATTTTTGCATCAACCTCAGATTGCTGCTAAACGTATGCATAAATTATTTCATTATTTACTTTCTCATAATTATGAAAACTGCATCCCCCTTAATTTGTCCAGTACCTTATTTAGGTACTTATCATCACTTGGATACTATTACCCGAATTGATTTTGTTTGGTCTTGTCCGCTTCTTCGGTAATATATGTTAACTGCTTCCATATTTGACGCTTATGATATGCATATCTTCGACCATAATCCTATTATCACTTATTTTGACGCTTCCTTATTATCAGATGCTATTAAATCTGCACGTGTTCGTCAACTTGGTCGTAATACTTGACGTATTTTCAAATTTGATTCTATCTCTACTGATCAATGGTCTGCTTTTGCTGTTGAGTTGGACAATTTATGTCCAGTTGATTCACTTGGGTTTGATGCTTGGCCCCTCAATCAGAAGTGTGAATATCATCATTTTAGGATTATCAAAGCTGCTAATTCCACATTATCTTCAGTTACTGTGGGCAATACTTATATTCCGAAGAAGCCTAAAGACTTAGAAAGTTTATGTCAGTCTTACCGTTTTTTGTCCAAAGTGGCTAAAACTATTCGTTCTCTTCACAAAACCCCTACATCATATTCTGTTCATTATGAAACTAAATGGTTTTCATATTATATACGTCTTAATAATCTCCTTTTTTTTTATAAAAATACCTTTGTTACGCCTATTACCCTTCCTTTTTTTCTTTGAGATGAAAGAATTGATGACTTTGCTAATTTACTTCAAACGTTAGATAATATGACTTTGCTTTTGCGAAGCCTTCTCTTACTTAAAGAAAAAGAATTCTAAGCTTCTTTTATTCAGGCTAAAATTGATACTCAGAATGATAATTTCACTAATGATATTTTTACTTTTATTGAATCTGCTTTGTCACGAACTAGACGATGAATTGTTCTTGATCGTGTTTTTATAGATCATCCATCACACCCTACTTTATTTGACATCTCCAGATGCCATTGATTAGGAAGTTATTGAACACTTCCAAAATTTTGTTCCAATTACCTCCACTCCTTCTTCTTCCATATAGGATCTGCCTAAAAGATGGTTTAATGCGTATGCGCCACTCACCGATGTCTCTCCATCTATTTTTGATTCACTTATGGATCCTCCTACTCTTGACGAATGGTCTTCAACGATTTCCTCCATGCCCAATGATAAAGCCCCAGGATCTTCTATGATCTCATATGAGATGTTGAAACACTTAGGACCTACCGCTTCTGCTCTTCTTTTTAACTTAATCTGCGCATGTTTATCAGACACAAATATTCCTGATTTATGGAAACAAGCTACTGTCTTTCCTATTCCCAAACTGCATGAATGGAAATGCCAACTTAAGAATACACGCCCTATTACTTTATTGGAGGTGATTCGTAAGGCCTTGGTTAAGCTTTTTTACAATCGTCTTGCTCCTCTACTTGCCTTCCACCATGTCTTCCAAGGTGGTAATTTTGCAGGGTTACCTGGAGGATCCTGCCGTGATCCTATTATTACTCTAGAATCCATCATCCATGATTCAGTAGTCACTAAACAACCTTTATGGATCCTTTCTTAAGACATCTCAAAAGCATTTGATTTTGTTGATTTATCCATGTTGCGATTTGCTCTCCTACGCTTACACCTGCCACAAAATGCTATTCAATTCTTACTCTCTTTATTTATGTCACGTTCTAATCATGTTATTACTGCACATGGCCCTACTCTGCCATATAGAGTTAGAATAGGAATAGACCAAGGTGAAGTTATTTCTCCACTTTTATGGTTATTTATTTAGACCCTCTGCTCACAGTTCTCAAATATGAGAAGAAAGACCCTTATCGTTTGATTTCTCCAATGGTTTCCTGTACTGTTTCATCGGATTCTCGTTCTCTTGATGTTTTAGACATTAACAATTTAGTGTTTATGGATGATTCTACTCTGATCTCTTCTTCTAAAGAAGGAATGGAACATATGTTGTCTATTACTGAAGAATTTTATTGTTTAAACAATACTTCAGCCAACCATAACAAATACGTTTTAGCCACCAATGCAGTTGCTGCTTCTCAAGATTTATCTTCTATAGCCTTTACTTTATTGATTTCATCACTCAATACTACACCCAACATTACTGTTACTCCTATTCCTATGTCCTCATCTTTCCATTTTCTGGGAGTTTGGTTTAATATTAATGGCTCTAGGAATTTTATTCGACAACAACTCAAACAAGAATGTAATTCATTCTCTGCAACTCTTCGCCCTGTGAAACTAACTGTTCAACAAGTGGTATACCTTTATAATACTGTTTTGATCCCGAAACTAAATTATCAAATGCAAGTTACGCATTTATCTGAGGCCAAATGTTCTACTGTCACTTCTTCAGTTCGTACTTTGGTTAAACACAAGGCTAAATTATTACGCTCTATTCCTAATGTGGTGTTATATTTGTCTCAAGCTTTGATCAACTTATTTTCGTTTCAACAACAGAGTCATTTTACTAATTTATTTTTATTAGCAAATTCTTCTTTTTTTATGAAATCTCTTTTTAATTATAAGTTGCGGTTTATTCAATTTTATTGTTTAATTCCTATTTCCCCTTTGATGGTTTTGGATTGGACTTATTGGTCTTCTTTTAATATTTTTAAACAAGATTATATCGCTAATACTTTAGCCTCCCTGATCTTCACTCCCTTCTGCTTATCACGCGCTAATTCGTCGCCTGTGCCTGATTTAACTTATCCTAACGGCCATACTCCAATATATCATTGCCTTTCTTTGGATGTGTTTAAGGCCAATTTGACACGACTTCGAAGGCATGGCTTATTTTATTTGTCACAACTTTTGTCACTCCAGGGAACTCATTTGCTCTCTTGATCTGTTATTTATGCTAACTCTACTCAAAAACGTGGTAATGCCCGTATTCCCAACTGGTACAAAAATCTCTCTTCTAATGTTACTATCCAGGATCAAGTTGGTTTATTGCAAGATAGATTTATAACAATACAGCGCCCTCTGAACTAGTTTGCTAAAGAACTAGTTCTTTGTACTCCTCCTTCTGGTTATAAGAAAAACTGGATTGTCATGTTGAATAATGATGGCCTCCCATTATTTGGTAAACAAATTCAAATCCAACCCAAACATTTCACTTGTACTATTGCACATTGGACTTCTGACTGTTCATCTCGACCAAGCGAATTAGTATCCCTTCAACCTTGTCCCGGCTGCAACTTGAATATGAATAAATCATCTTACTCAAAGAGATCAGTTGCTATTAGCTCTGTTGCTTGCTCCTACTCGGCTTCTCTTCTTTAGTGCTTGATCTTGCCTATGAAGAAGTCATCTATCATAAAACACACATCTCATTTATCTGCTACAGTGTCATAGGCTGAAATTATGGATTACGTAACCTTGTATTGTAATTTATCCACTTACTCTGGGTTACCTGTTGATACTTCTTGCCCTTCCCTTGATACTGTTGACGATATTCCGCCACCTTTAC